CAAAGGATTTTAAAATCATCAGTGGGTCTCATTCAGTAAGAGAGAAGAAAACTGCTCAGCAAAAGTAAAGGAAAGGCTACAGTGGAGAGAAAGTTTCTTTTACCCGAGGCCACTAACAACACAGAGCAATCCAAGGCATGCACTGGTTAAATCTTAGAAAGTGCTATAGGCAACCCACTCTTGCAATTGCCATAGAAAATTGTTGTTGTTAGCTATTCTGTTGATAGTTCATATTGTAGGAATTACTAGCAGATGGGAAAATAGATGACTCAGAATACAGTATTAGCAATCCATATTTTTTTAATCAAAGGCTTCTATTAAGGCATGTTGCATCTGTAAGATGTGTTTAAGCAGTTGCTAGGAAGAATTTGTTTTTTTCAAGTAAATACAACAAACTTGATACAAATTATTTTTTGATCAAATATGTATTTTCTTAACGGTTTAAACCCCGAAAATGCATTTGCTTGTTTTCATTGCACCAGCTTAATGGCAGTATTCCATAATTTAGTTTGATAGCATGGACTTTTGCAATGGTAATTCATGCATTATGGAATTACTAATGAAATCTAATTTTATCATATTGAAAACATCACAGGCCTAGAGCTTTTATTTACCTCTGTTAGCTGTCAAGGGTGGATTAAGACTGTAGTGTGCTACCTCCACCCAAACTTTGGATTTCGCCCCCTGAAAAGTTTGGATGGCTACAGATGTGTGCTGGCCAAGACCAGCTAACGAGTTCCAGATTCTTTTCCAGACCCCTTCTCTGCAATTCATGGACTGCAAGCACCGCCAAGTATCTCAGATACATTTCCTTCCTCCTGACTCCTGTGCTGGACACAGGTAGTTAGGATTCACATTGCACCGCTTGTCTTGATGACCTTTGAAGGTCCACATATGATTGTGTGTTATCTCCTTCCTTCTCAGCTTATCAATAAAGATCTCTGGTCTGTAGACATGAATGCCTATATATTTTCCAGTTGCATGTTCTGGCTCGAATCTTTGTCAATATGATCTGATCAGGGTTGCAAACAAAATATATAAGGTATGGTGTGGGTCCTCCTGCAGGCAGGAATATTGACTGCAAGTAATTATTTGTCTTGCTGAACATAACAATCCAAATGTAGCTGATCTATCTGAGATACCCTCAAACTGAAAAAGGTAGAAACTGTTACCCTTCCCTTGCTGGGGTTTAGTTCTGAGAGATGACTGCATCAGCATGGGAGGAAGAATTCCTTCTATGTCACTGTTTGAAGATGTAATAGAAAACAAACAGCCTGAAGTCGGTGTTGACCAGAATGAGAATGTTTTCTGCATAGAAAATATTCCAATGAATCTTCTATCTTGCATTATAGCACTGGATTATTTTTTCTTCAGCTGCAGAGCTTATCAGCGCTTCTTAAAAACCCAGATAACTGTGATTAGGTGTGGTCCCTGCCAGCTTCACACCAGGGAATGTACCTTTCTCTGGAGACTCAGTAGCTCTCATCTGTGGTTTGATCACAGCTTGTGGATGTGCCTGGAACTTTCCCAGACTCTTGATTGTTGCTGTATCCCAACTTCAGTTCTCTGTAATGAAGGTGATCAAATTAAAAGAAGGTTGCTAACAATTCTGAATCTGTTCTGCTGCTTTTTAACTTTTGCACTCAGCTTTTTTGGAGAAGTTGCTTACCCTGTAATGAGTAGGTTGAAAAGTGAACCAGGAGGAGGCAAATGATGGGTGTCCCATTTTGTAAAAGTTCGAGATGAGCTATACCAGGTTTCCTCACTTCTGTTTACTTAGAAGAGAGTGTGCAGTGAATGGTTGTGTTGCCTTTTCCTAGAAAATAATAGTTCAGCTGCAGGATTAGAAAGATATGCTTTGGTATCTGAAGGGTATCAGTGAAGACGAGTGTTCCCATGCACCTTGCAGATGCTCCATTCGCTGAAGCCTGCCTCTGCCTTGGGGCTAAACCATCTTGACACTGATTGTCATCTGATTGTGAGCATCTGAGCTCAGAAAGAATGTGATTGATTCTCTTGTTTGGAGTGGCAGAGATTAAACTGTCACTGTCAGACAAATAATAGCTTGATTACAGAACCACTGTTTTTGCAGCTTGTAAAATGCTATCAAAGTATCATTTAAAACCTGTTTGAATTCTGGTTGCTTGCAGAGAATTTCCCATTTGTGTTGGTAGCCCTTCTTTCAATAAGGCACATGGGAAATTAGCTATGGCAGTTTAAATTGTGAACTCTTTACAAATGGAATGCATGAGAGTGCCAAGCTCTATCGCTTTAAGAAACTAAATCAAAATATTCATCATGCATGGGAATAAATTGCATAGGAATAATTACACTTCCTGTTTGAATTGTTTCTGTGCATCTCATTTAATATATTTGCTGTTGCAATCAGTGCTTGGGCTTCTGCAGTCTTTAGGGTTCACAAAAAAATATCCATGGCACAGAGAAAAGTCAAGAAGCAAACATTCTGAATGAGGAGATATACGTGTGTTGCACAGAAACACTTCCTAGAGTGAGCTGCAGCATTTCAACGTGATTAAGTGGTTTTCTATAGTACATAGAGCTCTCTGACCATTACTGTCTAATCTAGCATCTGATGTCAGATGGATGAGATTCATAACTCTGTTTTCAGATTCTTAATTTCCCTTTTTTCTGTTATTTGCTTCCTCTGTGTGTCCCAAGCATCATCCGTTCATACAGATGAGCACTGCAGTTCCCCATGTCCCCTGGGTGACATGACTGAGATCATCCTGAAAGATTCTTATTCTCTGGATTTAAAAATTCATTCTCTTTGTATTTTAATTTCCAGCGCAGCTGTCTGTGATCCTTTAAGAATATTTAATTCCATTTGCTGGCTCTGTTTCTTGACTAAAATTTAAATAAAAACTCAGCCATCGCATTATTCTCTGACAATTTATTTTTTTTTTTAAATTGTTTTTTTTTGTGCAGAATAGTTATGTGATCACATAAGCTTGAATCTGTTACATGCAGTTTACACTTGATGTCTGCAGTGGTGATTCAGAGGGAGTAAATGGTTGCCCAAGCTGGCCTTAAGTAGACACAAGACTTCATCAGTGACATTTTTCACAGAAAACTCACACGAGTGGTCATTGATGGTGCTTGTCTTGGTCCACTTGCTAGTCCATGGAGCCACAAACACATTTCTCAGATGTGCTAAAAACAGTGGTTTTTTTGCTTCTCTCATCTCTACTGCTAAGAACCAGTTAAAGAGGGGAATCAGTACTGTTGTATCTTCTGATAGTACTGCAAATTCGCTCATCTAGAGAACATCTTCTCTGAAAAGTTTCTGTAATATGCTAGTAATATTTACCAATGGTCTGAAAAAGAAAGAGGTTGTTTTTTTTTTTTTTTTTTTTTTTTAAAGTCTTTTCTTTCTCTGAAAACTGAAGGAAGTTTTTCTCTAAGAGTCTTGGTGACTGAAGAATGATGATTCCTTTCCCCCATCCTTTTTACATTTATCAGGTGGGAGAAATGCCATAAACTGGGTGGAGGCAACTTCTTCCTTCCTAAGATGCAAAAGGTGCCATTTGTCCTCAGCAGAGACAGACATTGGTTATGGGGTTTCTGAAGCTGATGCTGCTCTGAGGGTCTCTGGTTCTGGGGATATTTTGACTGTGACTTTAATTCTGACCTTCATAGAAATCTTTATCATTGAAACAGCATTGAATGAAAATAGGCATCTTTTTCTATATGCTCTTCTATGCATTTCTGCTCTTCACTCCATCTTGGTTATGCATTTAAGTTATTTGTTTACTATGTATGGTGTAGTATATCAGTAGAAATCATAGTGCTGGGGTTTGGACTGTATGTAGCAATATGTGTTGCTAATTTATATGCCTCAGATGCTGATAAAAATAAAGATCAAAAGTAGTATTTTCATTCCTCAGGGAAAGCAGATCAGACGGTGCTGATGGAAAAGTGCTCTAGATTCATAAACTAAGCATTGACTCATTAGTAGGTTGATTCAGAAAATGTATTTCTTTTTTTCCTCCTGAGTTAGGTGATATGCTTGTTTGCAATGCCAGCATGTTTGCAAACACAGTATAGATCGTCCCTTTCCTAACATCTTTGAAATCTGTTGATATTTATCACACTGTGTGAAAAGTAATGGACACACAGGCAGTTCCAGCAGGAGAGAGAAATGAAGAAAGGCACTGGACTTTCCCAGGAAAGAATTACATAGGGCAACCAATGGAAGGCATTTCAACAGTGGATCCTCCCTGCAAGAGCAGATGGGGCATTGATACCTGATGTGCCCCACTGCCTGCCAGGACCCTGGCCTTTGCTTGCATACTTTTTGTGTGACCCATCGCTCTTAACAAATGAAATGTAATGAACTCTTTTAACACTGTGAGAAAACATTTTTAGAAAGAAAAGAGCGTGGTAAAAGGTAATTCCCTCCCATGAATTCAGGAAATTATTTTGTGTTATTTAAGCACCTTGCTGGCAGATGCCTTGACTAGTTCTGGCAGCAGTCTGTTGAGGAGTACAGGTGTCTTGTCACTCTGGTCAGAGGGTACCTCTAAATATCTCTCAGATTGTTTCTTACAGCACTTGTCTGTTTCTTAAGGCTTCTGTGAGAGACTGAATTCGGTAAGAAATATTTGATTAGCCAGTGTAATTTATGTGTGTGAACATAATCTTGTGTACTATGGCGTGCGTTTATTTTCAGCCTAGGGAGTTTAATCCTAGGCCTGTATTTATTTGCAGTCTAATTACAGGGTGTTCAAAGGGATTTTTTAAATTGTTTTTATTTTTATTAACTGTGCTGAATGTGTGTGTGTGTGTTTTCATATGCTGTTACTTACTGTGGAGCTTCTGTCTATATAAACAGTAATTTATATATGTACACACAGGGTATGTAAAAACACACTGCAACTGTAAACTAAAGGGTTATGAAAAGTGATGGTTTTCATATTGCTTATAAATAGTTTGTAATCTTCTTCTGTGTTTTTTGTTTGCTTGTTTTGTCCTTTTTGCAGTTGAAGAATCTAAGTTTAGAAGAACTACAGATGAGATTAAAGGCTTTGGACCCTATGATGGAACGAGAAATTGAAGAACTTCGTCAGAGGTACACTGCAAAGAGGCAACCCATCCTGGATGCGATGGATGCCAAGAAGAGGAGACAACAAAATTTCTGAGTTTGTTTTACTTTCAGAGATAATGCTATGAGTCAGTGTGGACACTGGTAACTTTGTAGGTCTGAAGGAATTTTATTGTGAGAGCTTAAAAAAACAAACAAACAATCTTTTCATTTTTCCTTCACAAGCAATGACAATTGGAGCAGTGAAAGAACACGTGGTGTTCTGCAAAGGGAGTGAAACACATTACCACTTGTTAAATTTTCAAACGTTTAATGTAATAGAAGTTTGGTCTGTTACTTCCCAGTCTTTTTCAGGTGTATTGTGGTAATTTGTGTTGTACATTAGGAGGTGAGTTGTGGGGCACCTGGAACTATTTCTTGATTGTACAACACTACAGAGCCTTATGTTGCAATATACTTTTCCTCCCACTTAGTAGCATATTTATTGTGTAATCTTTGATTATCCTATTTATTTTATGCTTTTTTTTTTTTTTTAATTAGGAAGTATTTGATAATATTGTGGAGAGAAGAGCTAGACTAGATGAAGTTAGTATTGTAGTAGAATGAAAAGAAGCTCACCACTATATTATCTTTTAATACTCCAATTTCAGCAAGCATCCCAGTTCAGGACAGCACTTGAACATGTGTTCAGTCCATTCCTATCAACAGAATTTTAAGCCTAAAGGAAATAATAAGCACATGTTTTTCTTCTCTCCTGAATGAAGGATTGTGGCTGCAGTTGAGCAATACAATTGTTACACTAGAGAGCATTCTTTTAGAGAATATTTCTGTCATTTTTACGCACACAGAATGGTCTCTCATTAAACAAGAAAACAAGTGCCTAATTGGTTTTGATTTTTCTATTATTCAGGAGAAGCAACGCTTGCAGTCACTCCTGCAGTGTAAATTTCCAATTGCTATTGCAATTCTGACCAGTATCACCTTCCTGTTTTGCACCGTAGTTATATCCTAGTTTTATAATGAAGTAACAGCTACACTTTACACATACTGGATATGTTTTTTAGTTCATTTAATTTTTTAGCACTATTTTGAGGGAAGAGGGGAGTTATTAGTGGTTTGGGTTTGGTTTGGTTTCACATTATAGATATTAAGGGATAGTAATTTAAAAGCCAAAGAATATCAATTGAATACTTATATATAATGTAAGTACTGAAATGAAGCAAGGTATTGCAGATCTCTGAGGGTTCTGTCCTGCAATCACTAAACAAACAAAATTCCTGTAGTCTTCTGTGGTAGATTTTGGGAAACCAGAAATGCAGGACCAAGCTTTTAGTATCTTTTTACAGCTTCTTCTGTCTGATTTATATTGTGTAATATCTAATACGTAGAATTTACAACATTGCAAAAGCTATTTCAGACTTAGCCAAAAATGTGATTCACTTTCTGAACAATCTACTAGGTTCTCTGTTGCAATCTTTACAATTGTTATCTTTTTATAATTAACTTTACTGTGATAGTCATACTTCTTTAAACAATACAACTGAAAAGGTCTTTACTTTCAACCTCCAGCTGTTAAGCTTTTAATGGTGACTACTGTACGGGCATCTTCTGTTGAATGTTTTCTGGAAATTAGTAATCATCTCATACCTCTTAACATTTACTGTCATCGTTTGTGGACCATTTAGATGGAACAGTGCAGATTTTGGAAATGGTACATTATATCTTAAAATTCGAAGCAAAAGGAAAACAAAAGATTTTACAATATCAGCATATTACGGCCGTGCTGGGACCAGAATTTGGTTTTGAGCTGCATTACAGGCATTGTTGTCATTGTCATTCTGTGTGTGTTTGCGTGCATGCCACACTCTGATCTGTAAACCCCAAAGTCAAATAAATTTTAATTATGATTGTTAGAACATCCTTACCCTCAACTCTTTTTATATTTCTTAAAATAACGACCATCCCTTCTAAAGAAGCAAGAACAAAGAAGATCCATAAAAATTACTTTAGGTAAGATAAATGCACCGTGTAATCTTATGCCTCACATTTATACAATGAAATGATGTAAAGTAAAAAAGTGTATAATCATATCACTGTACCATTAGATTATAATCCTAATGCAGCAGAAAATAACTGCAGCAAACACCTCCCCCATTAGTTTGATTCTTATTTAAAATTCATTCCTAATTTCTCAAATTTCTGGTGTGTGTGTCTATATGCATGTGTGTGTGTATATAAATGCATATCTGTATGTAGAAATATAGAACAAGATTACTTAAACCATCAGGAGAGGAATGTAACTTGCCTTTTGTTGGTGTGCCTTTTAAGCAGAGTGTCCAGACACTCTTGCCTTCATCATTAGCAGCTTTCTTTTCCCTTACTCTCTAAAACTTTTCCCACCAAAAAAGGGCTTTGATTTTGAATAATGTCTTTGCAGTATAATTTACAGTGTAACATAATGATCAGAATTTTCATATCTCATGTATCCTGAAAGCTTTTTAATGTAGTGCACTACATATGAATTAACTCTCCAGAGGGACTCCAGTAAAAGGCTGTTTTAGACTAGAGGTGCTGCAGTCTGACATCTGAAAGGTATCAGAAGATAAGGGACATCCTCTCTTCACTCCTGATCTTCTGAATAGAAGCAATTTGTGTGAACTTAGCACATGAGCATACACACATGCAGAAGGAAAATCTAAAAGTCACGGAATAAAAAAATTAAATGAAGCAAGCCACTTAATAGAAGTGGAAAAATGGCTTTTGAAACACTTTAAACTGGGTAGGTATCAGCAGTTTGTGACCAAAGAATTCTTCCAGCAATGACTATGAAGATATTCATGTTGCCCTTCTGGGACAGTGTGAAACCTGTCTTTGGTTCCAGAAGCTAGCATTCCAGACTCTAAATTAAGTGCAAGCATAATCTGTAGAAATAGGTTTTATATTAAGAGATGATTACAACTTATTTTTCCTTTCTTCTGTTTGTCCAAATGAATCAAACCATCCGTGCTAATGGCTGCACATCTCTACCGCAGGATGAGCATCTCCATAAAGGAAAGCAGATAGTGCAGTAACTACGGCATTTTAAAGGCGAGATTTACAGAAAATCTGGTAGAACTACTGACAAGGTAACCTTCAGTAAGATTTTAACCAAGTGGTTTCTTATTTGCATCTGATTTTGTCTGTTTAGGTTTAGGAAGAAAAAGAGAAATAGTTTTGAAAAATAATTGCCTTTTACTAAACATTTGTAATAAAAGTGAATTTTTCAGGTATAATGTGGTCTTGTTCATTCTAACTAAAGCTAATGTCACTAGTAATCATTAATGTTCATTTATATAGCTGTATCACCAGTAAATAACAGCTTGCCTGTATTTGCCCAGGTATTTTCAGAGGAGAGGGTGCAGTGGCTCGGGCTGCTTCTGTGTCCACCTGCACAGTATGTTGAGCTTCTCAGTATGAAAGTGGTTGATGGTAAATGAATAATGTATCAGTGCACAAGTCCATGAGGTAACATTAGTCACCATTGACATGCATTGGTGCTTCTAAATGGAATGTATTCTGCACAAATTCTGTAAAGCACTTTGTGTGCATGTTGTTTTATCAATGTGATGTGATGAAGGTTACATTTTCCTTTTAATTGTATTCATGGGTATAAAGCTAATTAAAAAGACTTTGTAACATAAGCATGCCTTTATTTCTTTGCATTTATAAATATCAAGAGCTCCATCTTACTGTAGTGTTTCTTTCTGCACTTTGAAGGCATGGGAGGATGTTCTCTAACATCATAGAGTGAGCTGGAAAATTGAGTTATGGAATTTTCCGTACCAGGCTGTGGTACAACAGTGTTATGTCCACTATTGTCAATGAAGGCCTTGCAGAAAAAAAAGTCTTGGGCAGCAGGTGGTGCTTCCTGCCACTGTTTGGGGCCAGATGATGTAGTATTGCACTGCCTTGGGGGAAAGGCAAAATTACTTTCATAATAGTTCAATGTAAGATCATTACGTTGTACCTGAGGACTTGCCCCATTAAGTTGAGAACAAGTTTCCTTCACAAAATGTTTGTTGGTTTTTTTTGTGTGTGGTTTTTTTTTTCTCTGTTTAGTGTATTCACTATGGAAAGGAGCCACTATTTATATGGTCTGCTCTCATCCTTTGTTTTTTTTCTTTGTTAGAGTATTTGAAGAATACTTATTCATTCCTCCTGGTTTGCTTCTCCCTGCTCAGAAAGACAAATGTGGGCATTGCTTTAAAGAAGTGTTTCCCTGAGCTAAGTGTCCTTGAGATGTTGTCCCACAGATACCAACAATAGCATTTATTCTTTTTGTCATTGATGAGAGATCATTGAAGTGAAGTCTCAGCTGCTCTGGACATGCTGCTTCTGAGACTAATGTTGGCTAACAAAAGCACCTTTGTAGCTAACTGTTCTGCATCAGTGTTTCACACCTGACTTGCTTCCATTAATGCTTACTGTCTTTTATGTCTATGCTTTATGTTATTCAGTTGTCACTTTTAGTGGTTTTAAACAAATTATAATAATTATAACAAATTATAATTTAAACAAATTAAAATATAACAAATTATAATTTAAACAAATTATAATTATAAACAAATTTATAATTATAAACAAATTATAATTACAGCAATGCCAAGTAATTAAACCTCGGGAAGAAGCCACTGAAAGAATGTTTCTCTCTTCCTTTATTCTCCCACTCCTCTCTGGGTCGTGGAGGGCCTTTACTGCAGACGATGGATATACAGATGTCTTGACATGGACAGATCGTCCATGCTGTATGGATGCAGATGGTTTTAGCAATAGTCTTCTGCTGTAGTGGCATCAAGGCTCCTGAGAACTGTGAGGAAGCAGCACAAAGCAGTGTGTCACCTTGCCACCAAGAGATGTGGCACAGATCTGGAAACTGCTGGTCAGCATCAGGGTAGCACTATATTCAAACCAGTGCCTGTGCGGAAGGAAGCCTGATGGGGGGCAGCTCATCATCAAATGGGCAAAGCCATGCTGCAGTGGCAAATGGCTTTTGGTGCAGTATTGCTCTGTTGCCAGGACTTGACACACTGACAGCATGGCCTGACACAGGAATAAGTTTTCATGTGTTAGGGGCAAACAGTCAGAGTACTCACTTGTGCAACCACATGCTAATTGTCTGGATATATATTTCACTTTTACAAGTTAATTAAGGCATATGGTCTTTACTTAAGAACTAGACACTGCCCTATGCGGATATTTCTTATAGAGAGAAAGATTGTATATTCCAGAATCTCTCCCTGCCTCACTACCAGAGAGAAATACAGCTCTCCTAATCATGTTTTTTCACAATATTTGGACCTGACTGGTATCACTGGTATAATCCTTTTTCTGTACACAGGCGTGTGCATGAGCACACAGACACACACCCTCTGCCTTCTGTTCATTCCTCTGTTCCCATTATGGAAAAGTGTCTGTGGCCCTCAGATATTCACAGCACAATGCCCTTAAGATTTTTCTGCCACTTCACACCTTCCTGGACTTGCAAAGCCAGTGTGGTTACTGTTAAGGAAAAACACACGGCGACTACATCAAAGAGAGAGACCAAAAGCTTTTGGTTTGATTTATCTGACACTAAGCCTTTAGTGTGATGCATCAATTGATATTTCATTTTTATTACAGCACAATTGGGTATACAGACTAAATAGCGAGAGGTGTCCTTTTGATCTCTCCCAGCACATGAAAACAGGTGTCACAGTCCAGGGATTATGTAGGTCAGAGATTATTTGAAGAAGGATTAAGTAGAGCTACCAATTTTCTTAGCAACCATATCCAAAAGCATGAGAATCTATTTAAAATGCAGGCCTTCTTTCAGATAGGTCACTTATTTGTCATATACTGATTCCCTGCTGAAACTATGGAAGAAGGTTAGAATTTTTAAAGTTTTATTTGTGATTAAAAAAAAAAAAAGCAGAAACAGATCAAGCTATGTACTTACAGATACAATTAACAAAATAACTTCTGAGTCTCCTAAAATCCTGGTGAGTTTGTTGTTGTGGATTTTTGCAGAGTAACATTATTGAGATCATCCAGAAAATAGTGGAGTAATTCACCAATGTTCAGCCATTTATATGCACATACAAGTAATTGTAATCAAAGTCTGATTTACCTCTGCAAATTAAGTAGAGGTCTCTAACGCAGTGAGTACTGGTGCTGTATTTCACTAAATGCAGCTGCACTTCTGAAACACTGCTCTTACTCATTGCAAGAACCTCTCCTCCTCTTAGGCATGGGAACACAACCAGCAGTGAGTTGGTAGCCCACTGTAGGTCTATGCTAGAAAGGGCTGAGGGACCATACACCTCCCATTTTATTTTCAGTTACCGAGGAAGGCATATCCACTGCAGGCTGTTCAGGTTTCATGCATGTTCATTTGCTTTTGGGGTTATTTATAGGCCACAATTAAAAGTGTCTGAGTTCAGTGGCAATAATGTGTTAGATTCCATCAACGCATTTCTCCTACTTAGTGTAGCTGTGTTCTGTTGACACGGATCCATGAGTAGCCCCCGAGTATGTTATTATTGGGATAAATAATCAAGAATTTCTGTGATCGTAGGACCAGCAATACAGCAGACCCACATCCCACTCATTAATGCAAATTTATTCCACAAGTGGGTATAAGTTTGAAGCCTTTTAAATGTGGTTAACACTGATTTATTCAGCCCATCAACCGGCACAATTTTTATACATCTCACAGCACTTATCTTCAGTTACTGCCTCCACAAAAAGCACAATAGTTAGGTCCTATCTTGCAGCTGAAGTAGGAGGAAGTCTTATTAGCAAAGCGTTTGACTAATAATTTATTTTGTAGACAGATGCTGAACGAAAGTGTTTAGTTCAGCTCTTTGCTCTAGTAGAAGGAACAATGATTAAGTTGTATTTAAGAAGAGATTACTCTTGTGCTTCTGAGCTGCCTTCCAGCTTCTGCAGTGATGTATAGAAATGGAGTTGCTCAAGACCAAATGTGTGCAGCACCGCAGCCCCAGCGGCTATGGGGTTTGCAGGAGTTGTGTGGCTTTGCTTTCCCAACACTTGCTTGTTCTGCTTCAAATACTGAGGGGCCACCACTCTGCATTCAGAGCTGTCTGTTGCTGCCAGGAGAAAGGGAAGGAAAACCTTCTGACACCCCAGCTCTCTTCATTCAGGATCCATTAACTCTGGCAAAGTACACAGCCGCTCTCTTCTATGTTCCTGCCATGTCTAGGCTGACCTCGCTTTGTGCCTAAATGGAAATCACTGAAGAAAGCCAAACACAGCAAAGCCCACCTGCTGCCCCCACCTCGCAGCATGACTCCTGTCTCCTGCATTGTTTCAGCGCTGGGACAAGAAGATTCCATCTCAATTTGAGATGGTCTTACTGTGAGAATCTGACCTTGCCAGTAGCACAGGACAGAGGGAGTCACATTGGGAAACTGGTTGGGAACAGCCCACTATTCCCATAGGGACTTGCAAGCATCACCAACCTCTTGTTGACCTCAGCTTTCTGAAGGGTATACTCCCACAGTGATAACAGAGGGGCACCGTACTGGGAAAAGGCACATCCAGAGAGGGATGAAAATATTCAGAAGAGATGATGTTTGGGGTGTTCAGTGAGAAGCTAAATCCTACTGGTACCTTGAAACAAATAACAGTTTGAGGTGCTGATGTTTCTTCTATGTTTCTCTGAAGGGTCTGGATGCATTCGCCTGTCTGTTCAGCCAGATGCATGCATTCACCAAACTGAGGACTTTCAGGTTTAGGGCTGTGCATACTGGGGCAGATTGATGTCTCTGTGTGCAGTAGAAGGTCCGCCACAGGCTGTGAGGTGGTTCTCCATATGCTACCCTACAGGAGAAGTGAATGCCAAACTGACTGCCAGCAGCATCATGCTATTTGGGAGACACTTTCTAGACTGCTTGGAGGTTGCTTCTTCCAGCTAAAGGCCCATATCTTTGTGTTTGAATACTGAAGGAATCGGCAAACCTTGATTGATGTGATGGGACAGACAACTGCCTTGAGTGCCCATACACTGTGGCTGACTGTAAATTATTCTCAGCTGAAAAGCATAGGTTGGTGGTGGGTGTTTGGATTTTTTTAGGAAGAAGGCAGAATCTGTAAAAGATGCTTCAGGACTGGATGGGAATGTTGCTCAACTCTGCTAGAATAGTGGGAAGCCTGCAAATATGTTACAGAAGGCCCAGTTAATTTCTGGTGTAACTTATGAGGAAGTCAGGTGCATAAACTGGGAGAAAAGAAGAAAAAGAACATGATGAGAAAAAAATAGTTTGGACTCAACACCTCACTGAGGGCTATGAGTAGTGACTCTGGGTTGAATATTGTTTGAAAATACCATGAAAGGTAGATTAAAGTCAGGAGTGTTGTGAAAGGAAACGGATAACTGGGAAAGCAAGAACAGCTACTCCAGGGGCTTTCTGCTGCTCATGTGTGTGCAGCTGGGGCCCACCAGGAGAGGGGCTGTTTGGAAGAGATGAAAGGTCATGTCAAATTGATTTAGTACCTACAAGTGCTATTGGTGTGCTGCTTAGTCCCTAATCGGTGAGGTAGAGAATGAGAAGTTGAGCTATTTGCTCAACTAAAATATGTGTTTCATCTTCCCTACCACCCCAATTAAGAGCATTTTTAAAAATAGAAATTTAGCCTGATGTATACATTTGAAAGAAACATACCTTTACACAAAGGTATGCTTTGTGAGGAGCATGCCTCACAACATATATACATAAGGAGAATATGTATATATAAATATATTTTCCTTTGTATATACTCACAATACCCTGAAATCTAGATTTATTCTTAACCCCTGTATTAATGCACTTTTTTTGGTGTATTTAATTTCCATAATGTGGCACAAAGCAGAGTTCTTGAATGAGCAGTACATTATGGGGACAAGAAATGCAGCAGAATAAGCACCAGGCACTGTAGTTTCCTGCAATCCCGTGAAGTCTTGTACCAAAAGGAAGAAATACTGGAGCATAAATTTGGAAAATTAAATGCAAAGTTCATTGTTCTGAAGTTTGCACTGTGAAGGAGATTGTGCTGCATTATGTGAAGAAAACATTGCTTTATAAGTGAGTACGATAATCTGCAGGGAAAGAGAGAATTTGCAACTGATGAAAGTATGTGAATCATAAACCAGGCAATAATACAAACTCTGAATGTACATAAAAAGCTTAATCACAACCTATATATAGATTTTCATCTCAAGAAAATAATATAACATTGCTTCTCAAGGACATTTCTGAATCTCCATACTAGCCTAGATTTGTACTAGAAATCAAGATTCCACACTTGCGCATTCCTAAAGTAAGTTTCACAGAATCACAGGGTCACAGAACGGCCAGGGTTGGAAGGGGCCTCAAGGAACCCCCTCCAACCCCCTCCACATGCAGGGCCACCAACCTCCCCATTTAATGCTAGACCAGGCTGCCCAGGGCCCCATCCAATCTGGCCTTGAACACCTCCAGGGACGGGGCATCCACAACCTCTCTGGGCAGCCTGTCCCAGCACCTCACCACTCTCTCTGTAAAGAACTTCCCCCTGACATCCAACCTAAATCTTCATTCCCTCAACTTAAAACCATTTCCCCTTGTCCTGCTGTTATCTACCCTTTCAAAGACTTGATAATTTCCTAATTTGAAATATTACCATAATCCTCATTTAAGCACTTTGGAGCTTTCCGCCCGAAGAGAGAAGTTGCAGCATCTTCACTGGTTACAAAAAAGTGACCATCAAAAGGCAGAAGAACACATGCAGTGTTTTTCAGTGTCCATAGAAAGCAGATCACTGACCACAATAATTTTCATGTTTCAGATACTGGAGAAAGTGGCCAATTAGTTCTCTAACTGAATTCTGATCTTTAGATTTATAGAAATGAAGATGACCAGTGATTTTATAAGTCTGGAGCAAGTATTGATTACTCAAAATGTAACCTCTGACAGTTGCAAAGACTTCTGAGATACTGAAATTTTCCTTCAAAATATAAACATTTTTCTGTTTAACGAGAAATGAGAATTCTTGGCACTTTGAGGAATATGGTCAGTGCGCATGGCGGTGATGGGCTGGTGGTTGGACGAAGATCTTAGTGGTCTTTCCAACCTCAATAATTCCATGAGCCTATGATTATGGGGCTGAGCCCTGGCATAGAGGTTGGTTACTTCATCAAATGGCAGGAAGGATGCGCTTCATTCTTCCTGACATGGGTATATTTGGTGAGTTAAGACAACATTACTTGGAATAATTACCATCTGCCTTAGTGAAAAATTCCAATAGCCTAAGCTATTAATTAATAGCTATATAATAATATTAATTAATTAATGCTGCTGGACCAAGGATCTTTCAGGATACAATGGTGTGCACTGCCAGCTCAAACAGATTAAATCTAAGCAGAAATAAAGCAGAAAATGAGGCTAGATCTCCTACGATGATCAGAGCAAAAAGGAAAACTAAAACAGTCTTGGCAGGTATCACCCCCTGAAAATAAGCCTGAAATGGCATATGATTGCTGTCTGTGTATATACCACGCATGTAACCACTAAGAGGAAAAGGAATTATTTAAACTAAGGAAGAGTCCTGGCATCAAAAAAACCTCATATAAAGCAGCTGTTAGTAAAATTGCGCTAAAAGTTAAACAAGTCTTGGAGAGCAGCGTGGTTCTGGAATGCACTTCCAGGGGAATGGGAGCAAAGGCTGGCAACTTCTGACATGGAGCTAGTTAAGTTTATGAAGGGAATTCCTGTGTACTGCATAGAGTCATTGTCATGATAATAAGAACATATTAAATTTCAGTACTTTATTTATTTAGTGTCTTTGATCCAAAGCACTTATATAAAAAAGCAATAACGAAAATTCCTTTCAACCGGTACAATAAAAGTCATAATTCCTTGGGGTATTTCATTTTCTTTAGTAAAACGCAATTTGGACACATTCCATTCAATACTCGCAGAAATGACAGAGCATCAGCTCGATGAATAATAAATCTGGAACATAAGATAAGCTATAGGTTATTGAAATGATGTGTTGTAAAGTTTGGATCCAACCTTTGCAACTCTAAACTAATAACAGCTGAGGGAATTTGTGACTCTTTGGCAAGTTTACAGGTCTCTTCCAATAACTGGCCTGGAAGTCACTGGTTTTAAGCTCTGTGAATCTGCTGATTGTAGAACTGAGATAAAACCACAACTTGGGAGATTCTCTGCAGGCCCCAAGCCCACAAACCTAATGGGAGCTGCACTGGCCTTGGCATCAGTGGGAGATTCTGCCTCCCCTGCAGTGTTTAGCTCAACTGGAGCTTGTGAATGTGCTACACAAGCCCACCTCTTCTCTTCTTTCACTCATGGTATTTCAACCCCCTGGGTAACTCAGGAGTGAAAAGTGTTTCAAGTTCAGATGCCTCATTCAGTGCCTAAGTCAGTCTTCAGGGCCATGTATATGGCTGTTTGGTGCTTGGAGATAGAGAGCAACATCTGACATCTGTGCATGCTGTGCTGAGATCTCTCAGAGTTTTGCTCTGGTAAGGCTGGGAAGGACCTGTTTTCCTCAGATCGTGGCCTAGATCAACTCTGAGGGACAAGTGTTCAAAGGACATTCTGTGTGCGGGTATTTCCTATTGAGTACTCTTTGGTAGATTACTGGAGTCTGATCCTGAGTGCTCAGCCTTCTGGTTTTTAGGTCGAGCTGATACAATATCACCATCAAACGATCCAGATGACAACCTTCGATAGACTGAAAGAGGACATATCCTTACCATATTTGCTTCATTCTGCCATTGTGGCTGCTTTAGTTCAGGTACTGAACAACAACAACTCCTTGTTGCAGTACACAAACACGGGCTTCCAAACAAGGCAATTTTAGCTGTAGTATTTCAGTTTCAGTTGCAGTGTGTTTGAATGTATTTTCTGGACCTCTCTAGTCTTCACAAGTTAAAACGAAAAACAATCAGTTGCTACACAATATGTAGTAAATGGGGTGGAAAAGGCGATGGATTTGAAAAGAAATGCCGCTGTGTCCTCTGAGTGCCAGCGGGGTATCACAGCACAGAGCATCAGAGGTGTTGGGAGAGGAAGGGGTTGGATCTGCCTGTTGGCTACAAGTGTTTGATCTCGGAACAGTTACATAAGGGAAAAGGCTGATCGCTCAATAAGTTTATGCAGATTCATGATTACTGTTGAGAACCCAGATGATCTGCTCTCTCTCTCTCTTTTTAAATAAAAGTACAGGCCAGCCCTTGAGAGGGTTTGCATCGGCTGCGTCACAGAACTGGTGGGAGGATCTGCCCACAGTGCATGCAGCATTAAGCTCTTTTTCTGTATCTGTTCTTTTCTTAGGCCCTTGCACTCTTTCTCAGCTGTAACTTGTGAGTTCCTTTCTGAGGGAAAATGTGACTTGCAGGGCTTTTTTTTTTTTTTTCCTTAGAGTTTCCTTGGCAGAAAGCGTAATGGAATTGGCTGCCATCAACACCTGCTTTCAAGCTTTCCTGATAAAATTAGACTCTGTATCTCAGCGTCACATATGGCATCTTTATAATTAGTCTTTTTGCAGTATATGAATGTCAGTTCCTAAAATGCTGCCTGCACTGTTCATGTGGGAATATTTCTCCTCATTAAACAAATCCAGATTTTCTACTGGAGCTTCTAATCGCTGAAAACCCACATCTTTGTGTGCATAATCTCAGAACCATTTGTATGGACTGAAATACAGAGTATCTCCAGATTCACTGGAACCACTCTGTGTGCACGTCCCCTCTGAAAGCAGGAACCTGAGATGCCTCCATGGCCTCCATACCTCAAGTTGCCTGTGGCAGTGCAGCCTTGGACACACCAGAAATGAGGCTGGGTTTCTCTGGAGGGCTGGAAACTGACTCATCTTGGAAATAGAGGTAGGCCTATGCTGAGGAACTTCTAAAAAATATTACTGGACATAACATTTCCAAACAAGAACACCCAGTTTTTAACATGTGCTTAAGAGTAAGCCAACTTCCATTGAAATATGAAGCTTGGAGGTGTTTTCAGACATGTGACGATTGAAATTACCAGTCAGAAAGATGGAGAAGAGTTGATCCTTGTCAGTGATTCCCAGGTGATTTTTTTGAAAACAGTTGTGAAATGCATTGGAAGTCCTATGTCTGTCTTGAGATGGTCCTGAACTGCTACAAATACCGCTTTAGGTGGTGGGTGCTTTGTTCATCATTAGTTTCACAGCTGAGAATTTTTATTCCACTTGGGTATGTTCATTTCTTTGCTCAAATGAGGAAATGCACAAAGTAACAAATCATCACTATACTGCTAGCACTAATGTCAGGGGAGTGGAAATATTCAGATGGAAAAGTCAGCATTCGGTGCCTATGCAACAGGATGAGAATGTGCAAACTGTCAACTCAGAATATAAATTTCTTTTGTTTCTCAAGTGCAAAGTTAGTGCAGTGTCAGCAACATTACCCTCTAGGAAAAAAAAAAAAAGGATGACAAATAGGAAAACATTTATAAACACAGCTCTTGATAGCTCTCATGCAAACTGCTGTCAGACTTGTACACTAATGCAGTGAATCATTCAGGCTCAGCTCACTGGGGGTACTCCTGCTCATATTGGTAAGGCTAGCCATAAGGGATTTCACTTTATAGGCGTAGTAGTCCCTTAAGTTGACCGATGGAACTTCTTTCATGCCATCACCAAAATCACAGCTCCTCATGGCACTCTCTAACTGCTTCTGACGCCTATAAAAGTGGGAGAATTTATTGAAGATCAGTGTAATGGGAAGCACTACCACCAGGATGCCGGCTAGGATGCATGCAGATGCCGTCAGCTTGCCAGCAGTGCTCCCCGGCACAACGTCCCCGTAGCCCACTGTGGTCATGCTAACAGTGGCCCACCACCAGCAAGCAGGGATGGTGGCTAGCCCTTCGTTCTCTTCTTTTTCAATGGTGTAGGCCACTACTGAGAAAATGGAGATGCCAACAGAGAGGTAGAGTAAAAGGAGCCCTACCTCTCTGTAGCTGTACTTCAGGGTGGCTCCAAGGGACCTAAGACCCGTTGAGTGCCTAGCAAGCTTTAAGATGCGAAAGATCCTCATGAGCCTCAGGACTTGTGCAACCCTGCCTAAATTTGCCAAGGTCGGACTACTTTCCACCACCAAGTTGACAATTAAGGTAATATAAAATGGTAGGATAGACATTAGGTCAATCAAATTCAGGGCATGCTGGAAAAATTTTAAAAAGTCAGGAGCTACTGCAAATCTCGCCACCAGTTCAAAAGTGAACCATGCAATACCAAAGTGCTCCACGATTTCAAAGCGAGGGTCTTCCTCAGGGGTCCCGCTGCTGTCAATGATCTGGAAATCTGAGAGGCTGTTCAGGCACATGGTCACGATGGAGCCCAGCACCACCATGATGGAGAGCACACTGAAGATTCGGCTCAAGACTGAGTAGCCAGGGTTATCCAAAGCGAGCCAGAGCTGCCTCCTGATGTTTCCAAAGGGTTGTTTGTCAAATTTAGAGGCATCGTTGTAGAATGCCAAGATCTCATCAAAGGAAGATGTGGTACTTTCCTGGTCACTTTGTTCCTCCCATTTCTCTTGGTCTGGCTCCATTTTCCTCCCGTGGTAGCTGTAGCTGCAGCATGAGTCTATAAAGAACTCATTGATTCCCCAGTATTCAATCTCCTGGCTGAAAGAAAACACGCAGAGCTCGCCCATCACATGGAGCTTGCCAGTGTTGTAAAAGTGGAGCACATAGGGGAAGAGCTCAGGATTCCTGTCAAAATAAAACTCATTCTTGGTGTCATCGTAGTCATCGCAGAGCTCCAGGATCGATTCCTTCGAGTGACAGCTCAGCAGTTTGCCCAGTCTGGTCTCTGGGAACCTCAATAATGTGTTGGATCTCATCTTTTTCTTAAAACCTCCAACGTTGATGCTGATCTCATTGTCTTCAAAATTCGCCTCAGATAAAGCCTTCAGGCTCTGCCCTGTCATAGTGACCTCCTTCCAAAGGTGTGTAGGAAATAAAAGCCTAGAATGCAATTGCACAAAGCATCAGCACATCAGCAGAATGAGCAAATCTGAAGCCTGTTCACCTACTGACATTCTCATTTTCTTTTTCTGTCTTTCTTTTCTTCCTTCTTTCTTTCTTCCTTCTTCCCTTCCTTCGTTGCTTCTGTTTGTCTCTCTCTTTCTCTTTTCCTTTCTCTCATTTTCTATCATTCTTCCTTTCTCTATTCCTTTCTCTTTCTTTCTTTTTTCTCTCTGCTCTCTTTCACTCTCATTCCATCTCTCCATCTCTTTCTTTCCTTTTCTTTCATTTTCTCCCCTTATCTCTCCCTCTCCCCTTTCCCCCCCTTTCTCCCTTTCCCCTTTTCTCTCTCCCCCTCCCTACAGCACACACCGCTGCTGCTCCTTTGTTCCAGCCGTACCTCTTCTCCCACCTCTCCCCGCCGGCTCCCCGCTCCCCTTCCGTCCCCAGCCCTCCATCCTCCCGGTCCTCTTCTCCCTCCCCAGAACCCTTCCTCGGGCGGCGCTCCCCTACCTGCTCTCAACGCCCGGCCGGCCGCCGGCTCCGCGCCGCCATCCCCGCTGCCTGTGGCCGCGCCGCCGCCTCGCTCCGCTGCCTGCGGGCCGCGGTGCTGAACGGACAGCGGCGGCTCAGCGGCGGCTCAGCGGCGGCCGGCGGCACACGCGCTCGTCATGGCGACGACCCCCGCGGGGCCGCGCTCCCCTCCGAGCTCCGCCGCCTGCGGGGGGCGGCGCGGGGCCGCGCGGGGCACCGGCGGGGGGGGTCTGGTGGAGCCGCTGCCCCCGCGCACCGGGAGGCGGCGGCTCCCCGCCCGCCTCGGGACGCCTCCCCCGCCGGGAGGGGAGATCCGCAGGGGAGATCCGCAGAGCCAGTCCGTGCGGAGACCCCACCCGCGGCCGGCGGGCAGCGGGCTCCCGGGTTCCCCTACGCCGTCCCGGTGGCAGCGCTCCTGCCCGGCCGCCCGGCGGGTCGCAGGGTCCGACCTCGGGTGCGGGATGAGGGCTAACTGCGGGGCTGCCGACGGCAGCTCCTCCGCCCGCGCTGCGAAGCAATCTCCCTCCTCCCTCCGAGCCCGACACGAGGCCGAGGTTCCCGCGGGAGGTGCCGCGCCGGCGGCGCTCGGGGGCGGCGGCAGCGCACGGCACGGCACGGCACACCCAGGCCGGGAGCTCACCGTCCGCCTGCCAGCCCCGTCGCTGCCAGCCCGACCCGCTCCCGGCTGCGGGAGGCTCCGCACCTGGCAAGGCTGCAGGGGTGATGCGGGGCGGTGATGCTCCTCTCCTGCTTCCTCCAGCCCCCAGCCTCCGCAGCTCTGCGCATCACCCCCGGCTTGCTCCTCGGACCCTCGGGCAACCCTGCTCACGGCAGGGGGTTGGAATTAGATGACCTTTCAGATCCCTTCCAGCCTGAGCCATTCCTTAACACAGCCCTGCAATAAGTAAGCCCTGGTGCCTGCCGGCAGACGGGTCTTCAGGTGCTGCTCAGACATCCCAGCAAGGTGCTGTGAGCACCCCACCAGGTCCCACCAGTGCTGTTGTTCTGTGGTTGGAGCCCCTGCACCTCCTGGGACACCTCCAGTGCTGCCCATGGGCCCTGCAGCACCTGGGTGTGTTTCTTCCTCCAGGTGCTGCCCTTCTCTTAGATTCATAAAATTAGAATCACTGAGGTTGAAAAAGACCTCTAAGATCATCCAGTTCAACTGTTAACTTATCACCAATATTCCCCACTAAGCCCCGTCCCTCAGTACAATATCTAAATGTTTCTTGAATACTACCAGGGACAGCAGCTCCACCACCTCCCTGGGCAGCCCATTCCAGCACCTGATCACTCTCTCGGAGAAGTATTTCCTAACATCCAGCCTGAATCTCCCCTGGTGCAATTTGAGGCCATTCCCTCTAGTCCTATCACTAATTACATGGCCGACCCCCACCTTGCCACAACCTCCTGTCAGGCATTTGTAGAGTGCAATAACGTCACCCCTGAGCCTCCTCTTCTCCAGAAGAGGAACAATCCCCTTGAGGCTTGCTCTTGCTCAGCTTTCCTGCTGCAAGGGTGTTGGAGGAAGGCTGTCCTACAGCCTCCCTTTGCTTTATGGACCCCCTGTGTGTCCCACCTCCAGAGCAGCAGCTCCCATGGCAGCCTGTTGCAGCCTCATTTTCTTGGGGCTGATGGATGCAGCCCTGGGGATGCTCTTCCTGTTGCTCAGGGCAGGGATGGCAGGACAAAGGCTGGTGACACCCTTGCTGAGCTTTCTTCTGGAGGTCCCCCCATAATCCTCAGGGCTTGGCTACATCACAGAACTTCTCTGCTTTGATTTCCCACTCAAAATGAGAACAAAATTAACTCATGTTCCTCGGTGTCATAGTGAGGAATGGTGAGCTGCAGCTGACAGTGCATCAGGCAGTGTGCTTTCACCAGCTCTGCACCATCCTGGATACCTAGCAGGGGCTTGGAACATTGCAAATTTGTGGAAGATGTATTTTTCATTACTTTTCTTTCCTATTCTTAAATTAGATTTTTTTCCCCCTAATGCTGCTTTGAAATAAACTAAGTGGAGATACACTTAGAAGATTTTCCTTTCCCATTAAGCTGCTTGTCTAAGAAGAAATCATAGGCAGCCTCATATTCATTTTGGGAATTGGATTTATCCATTTCTGTTATCTTTACCCTGGAAAGGTCACTGGTCACCTTCTAACCTGGGATCTTTATGCATTTTCTCATCATAACTCAAAATGCAAAACAATATAACTATGAGAATACAACTTCTCCAAGTCCAATATAACTGCTCCTGTAATTAGGGCTAATTGCCCCAGCCAGAACATTGTGCTAATAAGGTTAAAATGCCTCTAGTGCCCAAGGTAGTAATCCAAAACTCATCTGAATGTTTCTGCAAGGCATCATTCTGCTCCACGGACACATGATCACAGATGCAGTGCTTTTGCATTTTCTAATGGTGAGCACAGGGCACATTGCTGCAGACACCCCGACAGCGGTGGAATCCAGGGGAAACGATCCGCTTTGGTGGTGAGGTGCTTTGGTCTGCCAGAGGGAATCAGACAAGGCATTTTTCTGCTGCTGGGGAATTGCCTGTTGGAGTGGGAGGTAGATGGGTGACTAATATCACCTTAGGGCAACATTACAAATAACCAGCTCAAAGGGGTGTGCTGGCTGTGCTTGTGACTCCGAGAACGTGTAAAAGATACAGAGTTAGTTCTGTTGGTTCACATGGCACCATGTTAATTAAGGAGCATGAGAAGGTGCCAGTGGTATCTAATGACTTGGATTATGTGCAGCTGCCTGGCCATGAGTGCATGTCAGCTACAGTGTGCTTCCCATGGCCATACGCCCTGCTCTGGGCCCATGGTGACCTGAAATGTGAGAGGATGGGAGTTTGTTGCCAGGTGTCAGAAGCAGCCACCTGGGTGCACTGGCCCACACAACACCCACCCACACTGATGGGGATGTGGCACCGGTGTCTGCAGAGCCCCACCAGCTCTGGGAGAAGTGAATCTGCTTCTCCTGCTAGTACTGCATCTGCAGCATTAATGAAATATTGAATAGGATCTAAATGAGGAGATTGGACCCAGCTCAGTGGTTTAATCAGCACTTCCACTGGTGGGTAGGCTCGCTTTGGAGTTGAGGCCACAAACCTCATTAGGCTGGAGGTGGAAAGTCTGCACGTAACGCTTACTGGAAGGTCCCCCTTTGCCTGGAGCCAGACTCAAACTCACATTCGTGCTGACCGCTTCCTTCTGCACCAGATGGGTTGGAAAATCCCGGAGTCTTAATGTGTTAGTTTAAGATCGATAGATACGATCTGTTTTTCTTTGCAAAGCCTCGCAGGCAGCTGGGAGCAAAGCTTTCCTGACAACATTCTTACTACCACGACCGCTGACTGTGGCCAGCTGGTGCATGTGTTCAAAAGAACAAAAATATTTTTGCAGATAATGCTCATTTAAATACTGGAAAAGGTCTACCACAGAATACTGCCAAGTCAAAAAGGAATGAATAAGTTGACGATGAATTTAAACAAATTCAGAAAGCCTACTTCCCTCTCTGGATGTTTATAGAAGGGATCTTAGCACTGCCAGAATTGGACAGAACCCGACTAACGGGAGGTGCTACAGAGGGCTGGTTCCAAAGCGCCTCACCTTTACCTTCCCATCAGCAAGCTCTCATGGCTCACAGCCGCCCATGGCCGGCTTTTGCCAACTGAGAAAGCTGAGGGAAATGGTTTTAAGTTGAGGGAGGGAAGATTTAGGTTGGATGTCAGGGGGAAGTTCTTTACAGAGAGAGTGGTGAGGTGCTGGAACAGGCTGCCCAGAGAGGTTGTGGATGCCCCGTCCCTGGAGGTGTTCAAGGCCAGATTGGATGGGGCCCTGGGCAGCCTGGTCTAGCATTAAATGGGGATGTTGGTGGCCCTGTGTGTGGCAGGGGGGTTGGAGATTCATGATCCTTGAGGCTCCTTCCAACCCTGGCCATTCTGTGACTCTGTGATTCTGAGGCCAGACCAGCTGTGGGGCCTTTAAGCTCTACTGGGAAGAAGGATTTCGTGCCTCCCTCAGCCCCAGGCAAACAGCAGTGCCATTTGCTCGTAAACCTGCCCCATACGCAAGTGTTCTGCCTGATGTGTCTGACTTCTTGGGAGGCAAAGGCTCTCCGTAAGTTGTTGTGGCATTTGCACAACAGGGCTCTGTAGAGGAGTTTCACCTGACAGTGGCTCTGTAGAGTGGCACATCCCACTTACTGGCAGTGCACCAGTTGTGTGAGCAGTGCAGCTTTGCTGTGAGGGCTGCTGTCTGTGCTGAGCTGACCTGCTCAGCCACCACTGCGCCGCTGCACCTGGTGCTCTGCTGCAAGGGACACAACGATGGTAATTACCTTTGCGAGCCCTGTGGGCAGCACTGTCTTCCTTGAGTAAATCATCATATTGCAGAGTCATGGAGTGCAAGAAAGGATCATTCTGCGCTTGGCTCTCATGTAGTACAGATTGTAGAATTTCAGCC